CTAATGAATCTCATAATACTTTGAATCTGAATCGAATGAATACTTTGGACTGTAAATCGATTGAAACTAAAAAGACTCAAATATTTTTATCATATTAACTCATGTATGCACATTATCATGTTATCGCATCTATGCACACCATCCACGTATTTATATTAAAATAACATGCATGTTTATCACATATTTCATATAATAATCACGTATAGGTTACCTCAATCCAGGTTGTCTGAAACCCGGTTATAACATCCTCTGAGGAAACGCAAAACACATCAGAACGTCAAAGAAACCTCAGACAAATATTTATGGTAAGTTTTCTATTGTATTATGTAAAACCAACAAACTTGTTATATTTTGTATTAATTTATATTTCTAAAGAAAGAGGAAAATAAGTGCATTAGATGGAACTCTCATACATGCAGTCGTGCCTGTTGATTAACAAGCTTGTTATAGAGGTAGAGGAAGATGTGGATGTTATCAAAATGTTTTAGGTATTTGTGATTTTATATGCTTTTCACATATGTTTGGGCTGGGTGGGAGGGTATAACACATGATGCTATGTTTTAGGTATTTGTGATTTTAATATGTTTTTAACATATGTTTGGGATGGGTGGGAGGGTATAACACATGATGCTAGAGTGTTGAGAGAAGTTGTTTTTAGTCCAACCTCTGGCTTTCCATTTCCTCCACGAGGTATGTACAATTTTCACTCAACTTTAAATGTTTACCATTTTTTATAAATTTTTTATAATTGGTTGAAATGTCCAAAATTCATACAAAATGATTATGATCTTCAAGAACTTTAAGAAAGAGATGAATAGAGAGAGTAGATCACCAAATATCTCTTGAATTGATTGAGAGAGAATTACAATGCTAAAACTCATATTACAGAATTGCTAATTACAATTACAAAGTAAACTTCTATTTATACTAAGAAAGGAATAAAGCTAAACTATTACAAAGCATGTAAAATATGGAGAACTTGAATACAACAATAACGCGCATACTCGAACCCAACCTTCTCCCCATTTGGATTCAAGTTCAAACTCTTGTAAATTTTGTCTTTCTAAGTCCGAGGAGTTTCTCCAACCTCTTTAGAGCGTTCCGTTATTGAATCTTCTCCTCGAGCAGATTTATGGCATTGATCAACAAATATCTTTCTTTAGAGCTCATTCTCTCCGACTCTGCAGCCCTGTCATTGTTCACTCTCTTCAAGTCAAGTGTCCGTCTTACCAGTCTTATAGTACCATCTGAAAACTTGTTTAGCTCGCTGAATCTCATAAACTTCTTCACTTGATGCTCAGCAAAGTATATTACTCTGAACTTTGGCTTTTCAAGAATCATGTAAACTGGATAAGCATCAATATCTTCTAAGTCTTGGTCAGGTCTCTTCAGATTGATGATTCTTTGATTATCTTCAAGACCCATATGAACATCAATAACCATAGCCAGCTTTACATGACTCCGCATATATCTTTTAATTGCATCAAGAGCAACCAGAGCTCCATCTTTCCTGTTGGTCATGTTTCTGATCTCAGAATACATATACTCCAAATCTTCCAAATATAAGTTCGAGAAATCAGCTTCACTAAACCTCCAGATTTTCCCATCTTGTCTAGTCACAGTGAAGACCGGATACCAAACTCTAAGTAGTCTTTGAGCATCTATCTGTTTGATTGTGACAACCCGATGTTTGGTACGAACTTCACTAACAGGCAGACGCTTGGCTTTCAGAAAGTGCTTGTACTCCAAGCGATAATCTTTGGTTTCCCGGTAGATACCAAGAATTTTATCACCACTTAGAGCCTTACGATATCGGAGGAAGATCCCAAAGTAGATGTCTTCAAGGTACAGCTCTCGGATCCTTTCCCTATCATACCCTGGAAAATTTGCTCGAATGACGAATGGCACATAATTCCTCATGAATATCTCTGTAGGATCAAAAGGCTCTCTAGGAGCAGGAATATCATATGCACCAGCTACAACTGCAGTGGAGGATTCTGGCACTGTCTGATGGTCACCCTGAACTAGGACAACTGGATCTTCCTCATTGATATCTGCTTCAAAGTCAAAGTACAGCCCAGTTGACTCGTCAATGTTCTTGATATCCTCTCCAAAATCTTGCTCTCCACCCAGCACAGTAGAAAACACGTCATTGAAACCAACATTGGCAGATAAGTCCAATAACAACCTTGTCCCTACTGTGGAGTCCGCCGACTTTTCAACCATTGGCTCGATCATAGAACTTGTCTCCATTTCTTCCTCATCTTCTATAATAATTTCCTTGATGATTCTTTCCCGTGTAGACTCCGGGGCAGAACCTTCAGCATTCACATCTTGAGCAGCTGGCTCACTATCAACCCTTGTAGCTTGATGTCAGTACCAATAGCCATTGCTTCCCTTGAACTCATTTTATCAGTTTGTATGATATAGGATCAACTGCAGTTCAAAGTTTGTATTAAAGAATCAGTATACAAAAATATATCTGATAAATCTCAAACAAGCCCCAGGTGGCGAAGAGCTGACATCGAGGTGCCAAACCTTCCCATTTGAATTTCTGAACATTCTTTTCATATGCACGCATTCAACACTTAGAAAAATTAAGCAGACAAGCTTATCCGGATTAGGAATCCGGTCAAGCTTATCCGGATTAGAAGTCCGGACAACGTAGACTTCAACTTTTCAACAAAATGAAGTTATTCAGATTAGAAGTCCGGGCAACAAAGAATCTTTAAATCGCACAAACTATCAAGTAATCTGATGAATTTCAACACTTAGTCAAAATTAAAACAATTAAAGAATTTTAATACGGATAATGCAAAACTCAATACGGATAAGGCGTAAAAAACAATTTGGATTGGATTAAAAATCTCAAATCGGATGATTTCAACACTTAGACAAATTTTCAAAAAGAAATACGGACGTAAAAAGTCAACAAGTCAACTAGTCAAGGTCAACTAAGTCAACTAGTCAAAGTACGTATAAGTCCGCTTAAAATGAAATAGCCCAAAAGTCAAGGATTTAAATCGATCACAAGTAAAAGTCAAAATCCGTTCAAAGAGTCAAAGTCAAAAGTACGGTCAAACACAGCATTCAACAAAACAACATAAATCGCATATTAAACCGCTCAACCTTACACTTAAATTGCTCACCAATTCGCTCAGACTATGACCGGATTTCAATTAAATCACACAATACTCAAGATAAATCGCACAAAATTAGAAATGACTTATCAAGCGGATACCTAGATCGCTCAATAAATCACACACGAGTCAAATGATTTACCTTTTAATCCAACCAAGACTTACCCGGTTTAGCCTAATCCGATCAAACTCAATTCACACAAAATATTTCAAGTATTAAACCGTTCAAGCTTTAAGCGATAAACACCTAAATCGATCAAGAGTTAATCGGACTAAAATTCAAGCAAAACACACAAATTTCACACTTTTTCACCAAAAATTTGGATCAAAACATGAAAAATTATGAATTTTGAAGAACACTCAACAGTTTTCGAAAACTCAAAATTCGATCAAATCAGGTTCAAAACTTGTTTAAAATCAAAATTAGTGTGAATCAAACTTGTTCTAAATCAAAATGCGAACCCAACGATACAAAATATATCAATTAACAACTAAAATTCAACCAATTTAAGCCCAAAAACAAATTCTGAACGAAGAACAGATGAAGAACACTTATGAACACAGATCGATAATCCACTAAAAATTCGTGCAAATTGTTAAATCCTCTAATCAAACTGCTATAGTCTGCCTGATACCAATTGAAATGTCCAAAATTCATACAAAATGATTATGATCTTCAAGAACTTTAAGAACGAGATGAATAGAGAGAGTAGATCACCAAATATCTCTTGAATTGATTGAGAGAGAATTACAATGCTAAACTCAGATTACAGAATTGCTAATGACTTGCTAATTACAATTACAAAGTAAACTCCTATTTATACTAAGAAAGAAATAAAGCTAAACTATTACAAAACATGTAAAATATGGAGAACTTGAATACAACAATAACGCGCATACTCGAACCCAACATGGGTTGAATTTTAAAATTCGATTGTAGATAAATATTATCTCTGTGATGCTGCTTATGCCAATACTTGTGGTTTTATGACTTCATATCGCAATACGAGGCATTGACTTTCTGATTTTCGACGACAACGTGCCTTGACAAAAGAAGAAAGGTTCAACCATGCTCATGCGCAACTTAGAAACATTATCGAGCGTGCCTATGGTGTCTTGAAGGCAAGATTTCCAATTTTAAAGCAAATGACTCCTTATTCATTTCACATACAAAGAAACGTTGTGATTGCCTGTTTTTCGGTTCATAATTTTATAAGAAGATGCAATATCCATCCATGATCAGTTATTTATGGATTACGACAATGACCCAATGTTTATTGTTGAGGGACCAGAAGAACTTGAGGGAGGCGATGAACATGACAGAGATGGAAGCCTTTTGGTACTCAAAACAATGAATATATGACTAATTTACGTGACCAGATTGCGAATCAGTTAACGTTAAATGCGTCAAATTAAGAATTATTCAGAAAATATTATGTTGGAATTAGATTGTTATGTTTTTGTTTATTCTAGAATTTGAAAAAGTAATGTTATGTTGGTTTGGATTAATATAAAAAATCTTGTTTTGAACTAGTAATGCTATGTTTGTTTGGATTAATTTGGAATACAAAATTATATTTGCAAAGTAATTGTTTTATTCAGAAATCTGTCAAACAACTATATTTCATTCGACAGAAGGTTAAAATGACAATTTATTATCTTTCAAAAAATAATTACCAAATAAAATTGTTTCATTCGACACTTAATCATTCGACAAATGCAATAAAGTGTCTTACAAAACTTTTATAAAAAATATATTCATAGAAATTATATTTTCATGTTAACAATTTACACATGAATTGTTGAATGGAGTGAAACGATTAGATCCGAGTCATTGGTGGGTTCTTGACTTCGATCCAAACCAATTGAACAATTTGATTACAGGCTGCGTCGGATGAGATTCTTGAATATTTCCCTAGGAGAAGGTACAAAAGGTTGAGAATCAGCAAGTCGCCATTGTTTGTTGTGCGTGGATTCCAAACTAGTACACCATTTCTGTGAGTTCAATATCGATAAGGGAATCACAGATAAAAGTGAACGACTTGTGGTTGCAGATTCATTCTCTAAAGGATGCATGCGATAAACGTAGTGCAGATTATACGAATGGTGACCAGTAGCAGCAGTAATTCGATGTTAGGTGCAGAGATTGAATTTGGATCGGCGATGTTCTACGTTTACGTTGGCATCTCATGTTTCCTAGTAATCTTTGCCGGTATCATGTCTGGCCTTACTCTAGGATTAATGTCTCTTGGTCTCGTCGAGCTCGAAATCCTCCAGCGCAGTGGCACCCCGACCGAGAAAAAACAAGCAGGTCTCCGGTTTTTTCTATACATACGCTGATGCGCACCGTAATCGATGTCTAGTTTGTATTTCATTGCATCCTTGTTCCAATTCATGATGTGCTTTTTACTTTTACAACTCAATATAGGAACCCAATCCGTGTATGGATCATTTAACTTTTGAAATAATTGTTAGGATTAATCTCTAGATAGCTTATATTAGCTATGGTTTTACTGAAAAAGACTCTGAAATTGTTTTTTTAATCAACTTTTAGGATTGAGGTATTGGACTTCTTATAGTAGAAGTCTGATTTTGGAACTGACCTTTTATCTACATTAAATTTGATGTCAATGATTTCCCCGGCAAGCACAAAGGGCATTTTAGGGGTATTTAAAATGAATGTCACTCATCAGGCTGTCTTTAATCCATTATCACTTCTTGCCTTAGTGGACAAGAACTGGAAGAGAGTATATGCTGAATAAGATATGGTTATTATATTAACTTGTAGCTCCGAATCATAAGTCCATTATAAACACAACAATTGGTAGCTTATTTGGGTGCTCAGATCCATCTTTGGCATGAGAGTTACACAACCTGGAAACGATAAAAGCTTGGCTAAGAGAAGGAGAGAGAGAGAAATAGAGAGAGTTTAAGTGGACATAATTGTTTAAAGTCCTTCATATTTGTGTTTACCTTCTATTTCTTTTTGACTTTGGTTTTGTGCTGTAAAAATTTTATGCCAGCACCCTCTGGAGTACCCCAACCATACCAGTTCACGACCATCATGGGGAGGTAAATCATCTGTCCCAGGCCAGGTGGGTGGTTCACCTCCCACTTTTGTTTTACAAGGATGCCCACCTCCTTATCCATTTGGCTAAAGCTTTGTTAATAAAACCCAAAAATAATGGGGGTTACTCAAGGATCACACCAGATGGTAATGGCTTCATTACTGTTTTTACACTTAGGATGTTAAACTTTTGGGTTTGTTGTTCATTCAGTGGCCAAAGGCTACTTCAAGTCTATGTTCAGGGCTAGGCTTTTTGGTGTACACGATTTGGGCCATCATTGATTTGGAGCTTTTAGCCTGATTATTCTGGATCCAGACCTTATGCACTGACACATACATCTTCAGGTATCCTATCTTAATAAACAATTGATCTTTGATACAAAAATAGTTGTATTGACTTTAAAGGTCAAAGGCTGATCCTAATTTAGATATGATAATTCATATCCTATGTTGTTAAGCTAAAAGGTTGAGAACAATTCTTATCTAATTTGTTTGATTGGAAATGTGTGCAATAAGCATTATTTTGGTTGAACTAACAAGTCCAATCATTTGCTAAACTGACCATTAGATGGTTAACTCTATCTCAAACTTGACCAAATCCCTATAGATTATTATTCGCTCGTCTTTTTCTGTCAAGCTACCTACAGTGGATGAAAATATAGTGTTTATTTATAATTTCTCTGGAAGGGAAGTGAGGGATCATCATGAACAAAGGGTGCCTTTTTTGTTAAACAAGTATAATGGCGAATGCAAGTATTCGATCATGCTAACTCGGAAGCATGATAGCCCACAAACACATGGTTCTGTACCTCTCGTGTTCAAGTCTCTTTTAGGAGTTCTAACCATGTTTTGATAGAAGAATTAGTTTTGAACAGCTTTGTAAATCAAAGTAATATTATTCATTACGAAGTTGGAAGATAGCGACAGCATGACCTCAGTCAGATGTGCTGCATAAATGTTCAGTTATGTTGGAGTTATGATGTATTTGTATCAGTTTTGTACATTCTTGACACCAACAAGATGCTTTTGGGATTTCTTAAAATATCCTCAAAATGTAGGACCTGTCTTTTCTTATGGATCAATTGTATTAATTGATTTCACATCTTGGTTTTATGCAACATCATGGGCTTCAGCTGTCATATTTCCTGTGGTTCAGAAACAACATCAACTTCTTGTAACATTGCTTCTATGCAATGCAGCTGCCATGGAGGTAATATTGGAATCTATAGCTTTTATACAGGGTCTGTGCAACTTCAGTTTAGCCTTTTTTTGCAAAAGATGTTGGATAATTTCATAGGAATGGCTTCTTTTTCTTTTCTTTTTTAATGCCAGCTTGCAAGGCCTAGTGTAAAGGTACACAGATAAGTTCACCCTTATATTTGTAAGGGTATATAGATAAGTTCACCCTTATATTTGTGTTTGCCAGAGATAATTAGAATGTATTGGTAAGAGTGCTATGGAAAACTGGAAGAATACTTGTCAACAATTTTGATATTTGGTTCTGACTGGCAGGCATAAACAATGCATAAGAAATCTGAGTGCTTGGTTTGTTTTAAGGGGATGGAAATGGGAATTATATAATAAGGAATGATAATGTTGGCGATTGATAAGCCATTCTCCTATGCAAGTGAAGGGTCCATGACAATCACTGACCGCTCTGAATAATCGACCCAAAAAAGTAAAGGATTCTTTTCGTGACATAGTTGTAAATTCCTATAACATAATAAATCAATGGCTTATGCTGATAATTGATCCAACAAAAGTACAAGCTATCCATTATTTTTCTAGATTTCATCATAAAATAAGCACGAATACTATTTATACGGAAAATACCATTTCTGGGGATTTCAATTGAGATATAGTCAGTGATTTCTTTTTGAAAAGGAAGAACTGGATTTCTTTGATTTGAATGATAATGTTGGGGATTGATAAGCCATTCCCCTCAATTTACTAGGGTATGGATGATTACCTACTTTTAAGTAATCCCTCATTGCATTATATCAAACCAAACACCATTATTCATTATCATTCCCATTCTTCACCCCCTAATATTCCCAATCAAGAACCCCCTAAAACCTATTGAATAGAAGATGTCTAGAAGAACATATACAAAGTCCTAACTATAGATTGCAGAATTGCAACTATAATCATTGTTCTTTGTGATCTATTCTCTGTTTTTTTGTTTTATTTAGAGGTTTTCCAGTAAAATCATTGGTACATTAAACATTTATCCACAAACTACATTAATCAAAGTTTTTAAACAACTAATAAATTGATTCATCATCCTTTCTTTTTAGAACATATAGTCACTAAGCAGTGGTTGACTGGTCGTGATACATTTAATTGACAAGTACATAGACATAGCACTTATGAGAGAGGATTTCAGATTTTTCCTTGAAGTTTGTTATTAACTACTATTATATTTTTCACCATATTCTTCTTTATATAGAATTTTTAATATACATTGATATTTTGTTGCGAATCTGCAGGCCCTGCCAATATACTTGGACAAGATTTTTAATCAAATTGTTGCAATCGTGCTTTCTGTAACTTTTGTTCTGTTTTTTGGAGAGGTAGCTTGAAAAAATTAGAAATTCTCTCCTTTTTACATTGCAGCTTCATACTTATGTATCACTCTTTGTACCAATTGTTTTTGCCTTGCAGGTGATTCCGCAAGCAGTGTGTACCAGATATGGACTCGCTATAGGTTCTAGTTTTATTTGGCTTGTGCGTATACTGATGATAGTTTGCTATCCGATTGCTTATCCTATAGGCAAGGTAAGTCCTACTGAGGGAGAATAACTGATTGAATTCCTTTTACCTCTTGTTAGTTTTGAAGGATTGCCTCTTCCACCTAGATGATATGGTGTATTGTTCAAGTTCCTAGTAACTTGAGAAGAAGAAAGGGTGAGCGATGAGAAGAATGATACCTTGTGGCATTTTTTCTAGTGATTGCTTAAAACTAAGGTTATCAAGTTGTCTTCAGATGGATAAATGAAGTATGAGATTTCCCATTTGATATGATGTATTTCTTTAGTTCCATTTTTAGATAAAACTTGTCAAAGCATCAGAAATTTGGTTAGATTCTAGTACATGAATTAATAAACAATTTCTTCAACCTTTCTTGCTAAAGATGAGCAAAATAATACAAAATAGCGCTTCCCTAAGTAGCTTTCATATGTCATTGAATGTATATGTTTTGAAGGAGTGCTCATTGCTTAACTTGAAAATTCCGGGATATGACAACTACCTGGTAAGAAATATCTTAGTTAATCTGGGTATGGTTTGGATGGAAACATTTACTAACATAAAACAATCTCCGCCATAATGCTATAGTAAGGAGGCTACTTTCAGCAGGACAGTGTACTTCCATAGGTTTCATAAATCATGCATTTGTGGCTGTATGCCATGTTATGCTCTTTTCTTGTATTGTGTCAGTCATGAGTCATGTAAGACGAAATAAAGTTCAACCTAAAGTCTTTACGTCTCTTCTATCCTTTTGTAACATATCCTTGTAATTTGAAAAGATAGTGATAGCTTTGAGTAGAATATTACTGTCTTCTAGTTTTTCATGAGTATGTCATCCTATATAGTCGCATTTTGTTTACAAAGAGGTAAATACATTCTAGTTTTATAAGTTAAAGAATTGGTCATATATTGCTAGCTTATGTAACACATAATTTTGTGATTCCAGATGCTTGATTTGGTATTAGGACATAATGATGCTCTATTTAGGCGAGCTCAATTGAAGGCCCTTGTTTCCATCCATGGCCAGGAGGTTAATTCCTTATGTGATACAAGCATCTAGCATTTATTTTCTTTCTTTGAAACCTATTAATGAAATTCTAGATTGACGTCCATATGTTGTATGCTCTGTTCTGCAATTAATGACATCCTCATTCTATTCCAGGCTGGTAAAGGAGGTGAACTCACTCACGATGAGACGACAATTATCAGTGGAGCACTAGATTTAACTGAAAAGGTAGTAGGACTTGCTATTTATTGCAAGTATATACTTGCATTTTGTATCTTATTTTATGCTTTTTTGGATAAATGAATCTTATTTTATGCTTTTTTGGATAAAAGATCTTATTTTGTGATTCCTTGTTATTAGTTTTATTTTTTGATGTTGTTGCTCCATCAACCTTTATGGACAACATTATGTGATTGGTTATATACCATTTTATGATTGTTGTTTTACAAGCAACAAGTTATCTGGATTCTTGACTTTGTTAAGAGCGTTCCCACCAAATTCCCATATACTACCAAACACCTTAATGAATCCTCAGTTATATCGTTTTACATGCACAAATTTGTATGCTTACATTACACAATCTGATAACATCATTAGCAAAGAATGTACGTTGTCCAGTAGTGACGGAAATTTTACCCGTCGGGTTGGGTACCCGTGAGTATCCGTAACGGGGCGGGGATGGGTATTGTTTTTCATACCCGAAGCGGGTCAGGGTCGGGATCGGGATGGTATTAGCCGCCCCTAATAATACCTGATATATATTTTAATATACAATTTATTTAGTTTCTTTTTGTTGCTTAATAATTTTATATTTTTAACTTTGTGATGAACCATGATTACACGTGGTTGGTTATATCATTATATGTTTTTGAAACTTGAGGTTTATTTATTTGCATAAAAAAACTCGCTTTTTTTCATTTAAAATAATTTAATTAATTTTTTTTCCTAAACGGGTATCCAACAGGTTCTCCATACCCGTCGGAGATTTTCCCCTGAATCCGTCGAGGATTAGGCGGGACAGGGGACGTAAAAAGAGGTCGGGGGTGCATTCCCCGCCCTTACCTGCCCCGCTTCTATCCCTATTATCCAGTATATGACACTCTTGTTTTCCCTTATCTTTGTTAAACAACTTGAGTTGTTAAAGCCTTATATTTGAAGTCACAAGGGAGGGGGAGGTGTTGGTTTATAAAATTGGGTTTAAAATGCTTCATGACTATGAAAGGCATGAGCCGTCTTCAGTTCTAGGATTCCTAGTTTGAGCTCTTATTCTTCTGTATTTGTAGCATGGTTTCAAAAGCAATGATCTATTGATATTTGAGAGGCGTTTATTTTGGTTGTCTGTAAAGGTGCATATGGCAGTTGTTTGTCTTTGATGAACATGGAGTGATTTCAGTTGTTAAAGTATCTGGATCCTCGCCTCTCAGGGTTTTGAAGCAATGAGCCGTGTAGGGTTAATGTGTTATACCGTTTAGTCCAGAGATTACGTGGAAGGAGAGCAGTACTTGTTTTAAAGTAAAAGTTCTTTTCAAGCTCTTGTAAGATAGACATTCCTGTTCAATGTTACACTATTATTTTTAAGTGATTTTTCATACATGATTACTCTAAGGCTTTGTGATTTTTCCCTGTGATTTTTTCCCCTCCTGATATAGATTATTACTTTGTCATCAAACGTTGGGAAATTTCTCAAAGTAATCATCACTGTTAACTCTTATCAGACTGCAGAGGAGGCTATGACACCAATTGAGTCAACATTTTCTTTGGATGTCAATTCAAAGTTAGATTGGTGAGTTTTGTTCCTGTACATAATCAGAAGCCACTTCTATTCCTACTGATGTCAAATTAAATTTAGTGTTTCCTCTGTGCATGTGCTCTATCCATGCAAGAACACACTTCTAGTCCTACTGATATCTTTGTTATATGACGGGTTTTACCTTCTGAACCATTGGTTTTATAGCCTGTTTACAAAACTAAATTGATCACCTTCTTCCATTTTAACCAACTTGTATATTTATATATTACTTGCTATAATATATCAGTGCACTAACCAATTTCTCTTTGAAAACAAGCCATTAAATCGACAGTTCAAAGGGTAAAACCTGTCATATAACAAAGTTATCAACAACCTGAAACCTAGCTTTATGCTTGTTCTCAAGCAAAATTTGGCAAAAGAAAGTTGATGAAAAATAATTTTTACACCAGTTAAAGCATAACATGATGGGCTTAACAAATGAAGATATATGAACAGTATTTCTATAACCAAAACTGAAGGTGAAACCATAATACAAAGTTGATAAAAACCAAAAAATGCCAACTAGCTTTTTGATCACAATGAGCGTAATCAGAAACAAATCATGAGTTCAATTTCGTCGTGTGAATAACTCGGAGATCTTTCATCTTGACCCTATCCTCATGGGATGTCCTTGTAACACTCCAATCCTAGGTTAAACTCGATTCAATACAAAGACATAAGGGAGAACTTTAGTACAAAGATAACAAATACAATCCTCACGTGAAACAGAAGGAAATACTTTCCACAATTTAGATATCAAGAATGAAATTACATAGTAAACCATTAACTAGAGTAACAATAGCTTGCTAATTTTGTTAGCCAAACATCTAAAAGATCAACCAAACATTAACGGGTAGAAATAGAGATTTTGGGATTTTGGCTCTGAATGAAATGTATAAGAATGTAAGTTGGCTCAAGTTGCATCATTCATTTTTCAATATTTGGTTCAAAACTAAATTGTTACAAAAGAGATGAAGAATGAGTGATGCAAATCAAGCCAACTTATATTCTTATATCAATCATTCAAAGCCAATATCTAAAAGCTCTATTTTCACCCATTAAACCTCGGTTGATCTTTTAGATGTTTGCTTAGTAAATTAGCATGCTATTATTGTTGTGGTTCAGGTCTTACTATTGGATTTCATTATTGAGATTTGATTTGTGAAAAGTGTTGCGTTAGAATCACATGTGGATGGTATTTATCCTTGTTCTAAAACTCTCCCGTATGGCTTTAAATTGAGTTGAACCTAGGATTTGACTTTTGCGAAGGCATCCAGAGAGCCTAGGGTCAAGACAAAATCTTGCCTAGTTATGCACATGATGAAATTGAGCTCACGAGTGTTAATTTAAAATAACAGTTTGCATGTCAATAGTTTCATTGGATGTTCGTTTTGGAACTAGATATTTAATTATTGCAACTTTTAATGTTTGTATAACAAATTCTGCTTCTGATTATTTAGGGGGTAAGATAATCAGTTTTATTAGTGCTTCAACAAAACTGATTATCAAAGGGAATTTATTGAATCGAAAAAAGTAAAAGTTGGTCTGAGCCATTTATGCGTCAGAAACTAGTTAAAATTAGAAAATAATCTTCTCTCTATTAGTTTATTCTATTCAAATGCAGGCATTGTTTTCTTTCTCAATTTTTGTTGAATGGTCATGTTCAACATCTCGGTGTCTTCTGTTGTGCTAATAACTCCTTCCAAACGAATGTCATTTTTCTTAATCTTTTGTAGGTTGTGTTTCAGTTTATATGTGTTGTTGCAGTTTTTGAAGTTCTAGTTAAGAAATTATAAAATATGAAACTAGAGTAGGCCAAACTTGATTTCAGGAGCAGAAAGAGAGTTCTAACCAATTTCAGTATTCTATAAAGAGCGGATCTTCGATAAGAGATCATGTATGGTGTGATTCATAATCTGTACTTGTACAACTCTGTCATGTCACTATAATTTTCATTGGCTGTCAATTTTAACTACCCCCCTCCCAGGAGCAGTTGCGTTGGTATTAAGGGCTGCTATATTTATTGCCAATGCTTTCTTAACATCTTGGTTAGAAATTGAAAATTGATAGAACTCTCTGTATTCCTGACCATTCTTTCTTCCAAACGTGGTTACTGTGTTGCTTGACATGGGCTCTTGATTTCGTTCTCCTCTTAACCTATTTTCTCCAGTGCTCATATTTGCCCCCTGCCAATGTACAACCACCAATGCACCAAGTACAAATCCTATTTGCAGCACATAGCACAAACTCCACAAATTTTAACTTCAGTTTTTATGCCATTGGAAATATGGGTTCTCACATTTGGCATTTTTTCTGTATAGAAGCATGGAGATTTGTGGGATAAAAGGTTATTTTGATTGGAAACAAATAAAAATGACTCAGGTCTGATAAAACAACCTATCTTGTTTTTTATGAGATGGTCTTGCTAAAATATTTTTTACGCTTAGGTGGTGTTTAATGTATGTTTTGGAAATGATCATATTATTGAGACTTTAATGTTTGGTTGCTTCTCATTATCTGATAGTTTCAACCAATTCTAACTAAAATAATTACCAGATGGAAAAAAAATTACTTATTAACAACTTTTTGACCCAATCTTTTTTTTCTTTTTTGTATTTTTACTCCCTTTTACACAAGATCTATCTTCGTTTTCATAAGAATGTGTTTTTTGTTTATTATATATATTAGTACAAAAAGCAAAAGTTGGTTTGACCATTTTGACATCAGAAACAAGTTGAAATTAGAAAATAATCTTCTCTCTATCTATTCATATGCAGCCATTGTTTTCTTTCTCAAGTTCATACTTGAATGTTCAACATTCTGGTGTCTTTTGTTATGCTAACAACTCCTTCCCAAGAGAATGATATTTTTCTTAATCTTTTGTGGGTTGTGTTTCAGTTTGTATGTGTTGCTGCAATTTTAGGTTCTAGTTAAGAGTTTCTAAATTGATGAAACTAGAGTAGGCCAAACTTTTACCAGCAAGGTTTTTACAAAAACAGCCGCTCTACCATTTGGGTAGAGGTCACCTTTGTATACATTCTATCCCCCAATCCTACTTTCGGTTGTAATATACTTGGTTAGTTGGTTAGTATCCCATAAAGAGCAGTTCTTAGATTACAGATCATGGATGGATGCGACTCATAATCTTGAGTCCTTGTACAACTTCGTCATGCCACTGTAATTTTTGATGGTTGTCAACTTTTAACTGCATCCCCCCCAAGCATCTATGTTGGTATTAAAGGCTGCTATCTTATAGCTAATGCTTTCCTAAAATCTTGGTGAGAAATTGTAAATTCAAACAAGTCTACTGCATCCTGACTATTTTTTAAGCCAACGATTTTTCTTCTGCTACTTGACATGGGTTCTTGATTTCCTTCTCCTTATAATATGTCAGGGAAGCAATGGGAAAGATCCTTGCAAGAGGTCATAGTAGAGTCCCTGTATACTCTGGGAACCCAAGAAATGTTATTGGACTTCTATTGGTAGGCTGTCACGGTGTCACTCAAGTTTTTAGTTGCTTTCGTGTGGTATTTAGCTGTGAACAATGATGTCTCCTAATTCTGTTCTTGCTGAATTGTAGGTGAAAAGTCTTCTTACTGTACGAGCAGAAACAGAGACTCCAGTAAGTGCAGTTTCCATCCGGAGAATTCCAAGGTTTGGGTCGTTTTTTGTGCTTCTTCTCTTTAAGTTATCCCTCTTTGTTCGGCATAATAAGGACCAAGAAGGGGAAGAAATTTGAATGCCGTTTGCTTTTATTTGCTTATTATGAATTGTACAGTTTTTATGAATCAGTTACAATATTGTTTGGCTAGGGTTCCAGCTGACATGCCTCTTTATGACATACTGAATGAGTTTCAAAAGGGAAGCAGTCATATGGCAGCTGTAGTCAAAACTAAAGGGAAAAGTAGAAAACCCCCTACACTTGAAGAAGAACCAAATCAAGGAACAGTCAGCAGTCAATATATTCAATCTACAACTCGATGGCCATCAAAGCATGGTGAAAAGGCAGAAAATATTGTTATTGATATGGAAAAGGCTCCAAGAGTGACCACACAAACCTTCTCAAAGCAGGGTGATGCTGGGCCAAATGGAGTGCCTTACTCAACAGAGGACATTGAAGAAGGTGAAGTGATTGGTATAATCACCTTGGAAGACGTATTCGAGGAACTTCTTCAGGTTTTCTTGGCTCTCTCATTGCCTCCTCACCAATTCTCATAACTTGCAGGCTTTCAGCCAAACACACCATTATACATTACCTGTATATCTTTATTTTGGTTTTTTTAAATGAGGATTCGAATATAACCTTCTAAAACAAAATTTATAATCAAATATCATTAACTGTTGGTAATATTTTAGTCTTTTGGTAACCAAGCATAACTTCTATGTAAATGCGTTCTGAAGAGAGGACTTAAAAATTGTAGGATTGGAAAAGAAGAGGACTTAATATACTAGAAGGAAAAAGAGGAATGCAGTTGATAGAACATAAACTTTCTGTGGTCTCCACCTGCCCTTTAGTTTCTAATGACTTACTTGATAAATTTGTTCATCGATGCAGGAGGAGATTGTAGATGAGACTGATGAATTTGTTGATGTCCATAAAAGGTGCATAAAGTTTCTTGAGTTTTGATGCATTTCCTGTGTTCGATGGGAACATAAATCCAACCAATGTTTACTTTCCACAGGATACGTGTAGCCGCAGCTGCAGCTGCTTCATCTGTAGCCCGTGCTCCCTCCGTTAGGAGATTAACAGCTGTAAGAGTTATCTTCTCTGCTATAATATAATCTTATATGCATGCTTTATTATTTTTTCGACATGGTTTAATTCAGCTCTTCATGGTTTATAATCTTTCTGACATGATTTCTTTCACATACTATTTTGTCTTGCCAAAATTTTTTTACACCGTATCTTCTATTCTTATGATGATTTCATTCAAATACTTGCGGATACCTGTGATCATTATTTTTTACTTGTACTTCTCAAAATATTTGTACTTCTCAAAATATTTTTCTGCATCATCAGCTGTTAAATTTGTTGTGACCAGAGGTTCGATTCTTAGAAGAATCTCATTACTGCTGATCCTGGTGGCAGATCCTAATTAACTGCAGATTTTGTTTTTTCTGATGTTTCGAGTGGTATGGAAATTTATCTGTTATAAGTCAGTAACAGAGCTAAAAATAACAACCATTGATGTAAAAATCTATGCAAATGAGCAAAGACAACCAGAACAATTCCAAATGGTATGATAGTTATCTTACAACTCCAATCTTCAATAGAGCCAATCCTAGTGACACAATGACACATTTGAATTTATCTTCATATGGAGGATTCAGTGATGCCATATAGTGGATTAGTGGTTAAACCATGGTTAGTGTAATGATGTCTGGAACAGGATAAGTAAAAAAGGGAATACTGTAAATTAGAATTTACCCCTTTCATATGTATTTGTTACTGAAAAAATGGATGGATCAGGTTGGAATGGATTATGGGTCAAATGAACACATCTAGAATGAGTTATGGCTGAAATTGGTTGTGTTTACCTTGTGAAGTGGTGGATCATATTTAATATCATCTTTCTCTCATTTCCTTTTCCGGTGACCGTTGGGCCAATGACCTTTTTGTAGATGGGGAAAGTTGTTCCAATATTATTCAAAAAAAATGTAGTATCAAAAGGAGAAAGTGTTATTTCTATAGAGGGAAAATATAAACAAGATGTTTACAAAATGAAAGAAAAGTGGCTTGATGAAAAACTAGTCTAAGGGGTAGCTCAACTGCTAAGATCTTGGGTTTGCTCCCCTGCTCAAGTCCTCCAGGGCTACTGGAGGGTTTGTCTGGCTGCTAACTTCAGTGCCTCGTGGGAGATGCACATAAGCTGGTCTAGACACCTACAGTTACCAAAAAGAAAAAGAAAGATAAGGCTACTTTGCAATTGCTAATTTATCGTGCTCGTCGTTTTTTCTTACCTTTTTTCTTTCACTTTCCTTTTGCTTTGCAGGCATTCTTTTTTTTTTCTTTTTCTATTTACTTGGAAAATGAAGTTACTGATGTTGCTCTTGTTAAACACAGCAGGGAGGCCAAAATAAGCAAGCGCAAACTCCAAGGAAGTCTGGTGAGGATGATTCTACTTCATCAAAGTTGCAGAGGGCTCTCGTTGAGCCTTTACTTCGTAAAGAGACATAAAACATATATACAGAAAGCTCGATTTTGTAAGTGACGCTTGATCTCAAACTTCATGGTCAATGTCGTTAGAGATGGTTACGTTGTGTGCGTTTAGACAGCCAATCCCAAAAATATAAATAAGAAACGGGTGTGCAATTTGTTGTGGACGTGGGATTTCCAAGATCATATGATACATGCAGGCATCCACATTAGTTTTTTCTATCAAGTTGAGATCTTTAGATGGCATTGGGCTTGAAGTTCTCTGCATATATGTTCTGGTGGTAACCAACGTAAATACATTTAGGGGTTATTCTGGAGAATAATCTTTGCAAATATTAATATTCCAGTAGATTCTCTATTTGGAATGGATGCCATACTTGTTGGACGAAGGATGGTGTGATAATAGGAGTTAAGGTGAGAAGTGTAAAGAAGGAATCTGGACCTTGATCACTTTTAGTATCAGCCCCATCTCATGAATTGTGGTTATCACGGGAATTAATTTGGTGCATCTCGGTGCATCACATTAGCGTTAATCTTCAATTAGGGGTTTATATGTGGTAGTACCCTTACCTAGTAGCCAAACAATCAGAGGAATCAAATAGGTATTCCAAAATAAGTAGATGAAAACGGTGGAGTTCGACGAAACAAAGCATGTCTAGTCGTGAAAAGGGTATAATCAACAATAACCAAATACATGACAAGTTAACAACATACGAGTGAATGTTTACATTAATTTGTTGCCTTTGTTTCTAAAGTTAATTAGTGTATTGAGGAAGTTTGTAATCAATATTGTACAAGTTTGTTCTCTTCCGTTGGTAGAAAGCATTCCGAGTTTCAAAAATCAGCTTGATAACTTCACGTCATTAACCTTGTAATCTTATAGCATACTCTGTGTGGGTTTGTGTGATAACTGGGTTTTTGGTTATATAAATTGGGTGACTTTCAATTGGTGAGTAAAATTTCCAAAGTGATTACTTGTTTATTATAAAAACCATGATGCATGTATGTATGTGTTTGTATGTACTAGTTGTGTACCAGCGCAATACGGCGGGATGTAAAAGCTTTATTAAGATTTATCCAATATCAAATCCTTTCAAGATGTCAAAAAACCTACTACGTTTGTATATATGTTATATTCAAATAACCATCCATCCGAAATCAATTTTTATTCAAAATGATTAAAAATACATGTACTCAACCACAAGGGTGATGCCTGATTGGTTTGAGTTTGGATCCAAAGGTCAAAGGTACCAGAAGGTCATAGGTTCAAATCCAAGAAGGAATAAAAATCCTCTTGTGGCCACGGAGGTTCAAATGCAGTGACTCTGGGCTATCTGCAAAGCAGGTGGTCGTCCTGAGATTAGTCAGCTCGCATAGCGGGTTGGATATCTAGGTTAATAAAAAAAAAATACATCTACTCAAAATGTATTTAGCAGAGACTTAATAAGCAACAATGATACAAACTCTCAAGTTAGTATTCACTGCAGATTAGAATAAACCTACACACCAACCATGCATGAAAACAAAGCAATCAATCATCCATATGATATCATATTATATGTTTGTTGGCTACAGTTACAACACAATCTTTTTTCTATGAAAAAAACATAAGGAAATAGTTATCAAGTCAAGTTTATTTCTATTTATTAATAGTAATTACAGAACATTGCTCCTTTCCAAGGAAAAAAGGTCAAATAGAAAAACAAAGGTTCTCTTACGGTTTGTCACCCTATTCGAATGTGTAACTGGATGCAACAGCCAATAGTTGACCATCTCTGCTGATGGATAAGGCTGTAATGCTTGTAGGGTACTTTGTGTACTGAAGATAGACCGCAAAATCAGAATCTTGAACATGTATTTGGCCAACAAAAATTTCAAGAATATATGCATTATAAATGGTACCTGATACAACCTCTTTTTGTTGTTCCCGTGCCATACGTTGACAAAACCCTCACAACCACCTGTTGCAGATGTGCCTTAGCTTCAGGTTGTGTTTTGTCGATGAGATACCATTACCATATCAGAGTAGAAGGTCCCTAGTGTGTGCCAAAAACAAACCAAGCCAAACAAACCCAATATATATCACCCAGAGGTGGGGTCTCGGGAGGGTAAGATCTATGCAAATTTAACCTCTGTCCCAAAGAGAATAGAACGGTTGTTTCATGACTGTGGTATGTGCCAACAATGATTAATTTTTTTTCTAAAGCTTAGCGCCTTAGAGTTAGTGACATGAAATGAGTGTATTTTCCAGGTTAAAAAGCTCGAAAACAAGCCATCAGCCAAGTGCGATTGACCATCACTAACAGAAAATGTAGTAATATCAGATAAAGAAACATAAAAAAGAGTAACAGAGTATAGCAAATAGACAAACCACCACATACATGTTCTACAAGAGCAAAGATAACGAATTTTTCTATCTTCTTAAATTCCTACCTCATCTATCTATCACAAGTACCTTCAAATGCAAACTTCTCTCAACAAATGAGATTAGAATTCATAAAAAGACAATCTGATTATTAACAGGCACGCCTCAAAAAGCAAAGTAATCATAGAAGCAAAAAGGAATGAAGAAATTTGTTAGGACTGAAAATTAGTGTAAAATTGTATTCGTCTTGAAAGATATAATTGTCTATAATTGTTTAAAAGTCATCGTGTTTGATTTTTCTTAGACTGTTTGACTTTGACCTTGTTTAGTTTGTTTGACCCTATAAATAGGGTGATTCTTTGTAATCTTTGTAGGAAGCTTTCATTGTAATATCATTTACGTAATAGAGAGTTTGACCAGAATTTTGAAGATTGACTTTTTCTCTCTATCTCCTTCTTATGTGTTCTTGAAAGAAAATTTCAGATCTGCCATTGTTCTTGAAGGATTTACATGAAGATTGATTGTTTAGGACACACAATTGGTATCAGAGCAGGAAATGCAAAGAAATCATGTGAAGAAATCACAAACTTTGAAGAATTTCTGGAAATTTTCATTTCTGTTCATCTTATGTTCTTATAGTGTTCTTCATTTTCTCATCATTTTTTTCGTAAATTCTTCAAATTTTCATGTTTTGATGTTAAAATGATGATCATCGTGTGCATAATTGATTTGTGAACATTTGTTGTTCACGAATTTTCAGATTTTAATCTTTCGTTTAAAATATTTGCTTGAATTGTGTGTTTTTAAATTTTTTCGTGTTCTTAATTTTTTTTTAATTTGTGTTTTTGATCCAATTTTTTGCTAAAAATTTATTGTTTTTGTGTTTTTGATATATTTTGATGTTTGATCTGATTCTGAATTTTGGGTTGACTGAATTTGTGTTAAATAGCTCAAGGCCCAATTGTTTTAGGCCTATCAGCCCAATAGCCCATCTTAGGTTCTTCTTCTACATCGTTCAACTCAGCCAGAATCAAGTTTTTGTAAATCGCACACTGATTGATCGATTTAGGAAGTTGTTCGCACAAAGCTTGACCGGATTAAACGATAAATCGCAGAAGGCTTGAACGATATAAGGTTTACATCGCCTAAAGCCTGAGCGATTTAGGTTACATCGCACACCCCTTGAGTGGACTAGTGACCAGATTTTGTTTATGGTGACCGGACTTTGAACAGATTAGTTCATGTGATTAGAAGTTGGTTTTGTGCGATTTAAGGATCTCTTCATTGAGTGGATTAGCTCAAGCAGTGAGCGATTTAAGCTCAAGCGGACTAGGTTTGAGCGGATTTTGCTAAATTGCATACAAGACAGCCTTTGTACAGTTTACTCAATCAAAACCTAAATCACAGGTTGTATTGTTCAATTTAGGGTTCTTGTTTGGTTTTACCTTCATCGCAGACTCATCAATTTCATTTAAATCGCTTGAATGTTCATCTTCTTCACAACTGTTCTTGACCTAAATCGCATGTTACCTCTGTATTCGATTTTTGATTTGAATTGCTGTTGATCTTGATACATTTGTTGGATTTTGCTGATTTTGGTTCATAACAGGAAATCGATCACAACTGAAGCGCAATCAAGGGTTCAACAAAATTGCTGACTGGTTTGAGGTTAATCGCATATCATTCAATCATGAAGTGGATGAATACTGGTTTTGATCATCTCTGTTCACAAGGTTATTAAGATACATARTTTCCCTYGAACTCAGTCAAAAAGGACAGGCTATTCTAAATCATTCACTGACCTAGCTGTTGAAGATTTCATCATATCTGAATTGGTTGTATTTTGCACACATTTTCTTTTGATTTTACATAAA